CCTCCTAATAAATGTCCTTACAGAAAATCTAACTGCTCATTTTAAATCTATACTTTGACTTTTAACTACAACAAATATCTGATACTTTAAGACTTTTACTCTAAAGGAGACTTTAATTTTTTCCAAAGTATTTTTTTTTGTAAGATACTTGTCCTTTTACTCAAGTATCACTTTGTTGTACTTTATACAACACTGGTTTATTCTTATTAACTAAGCTGCTGCATGGGGCAGAATAATACATTTTAGATTTATGCTAAAATAACAAAGAACAGATGAAATAAATAAAACAGGCTGAAACAGGCTGGACAGACATTTCTTCATCCCAATAAAGAAAATATCTGTYATTATGGTCTAAAAACAAGCTTCTTACCTTGAACACCATGTGAAGCATCATGGCGAGCCCGTCCTTGCCTGGGTACTTTCCTGCTGTGTTCAGGGGGGACAAATCAAACAGGGTGGACCCRGTCTCCTGGCAGATGGCATGGACCAGCATCTTCTTACCAACACCTGATGGCCCGACCAGTAGTAAGGCTTTTATCAAAGGAGCCTTCTCATGGACCGCAGGAGAGCCTGAAAACCACACATGTAGTCGTTATTATATAAATATATGCTTGTACGTGGATTTTAAATGTAAACTGAATAACTTTTATACCTAACGGTAAGACTGCGTATAAAGATAAGACTTGTCGGACATCTGATAATGACGGCATGGGTTCAATGTCATTTTGTCTCAGTGTGGTCCCGAGGTAACTATATTCACCTGCGAAGAAGAAGTGAATGACTCAATAACATCCATTCTTTACCTGCTTTTCATGCAGGGCTGCAGGGAACTGGTTTCTACGAGGAATGTTTTGGTTTTAGTAAACGACTTTGCAAATGAGCCAGAAGAGGGCAGCACATCATCACTAACATTTCAAATACCTCTTTGATTTGGCTTAGATCCGGGGTGCCCAAACATTTCCCCTAATAGGTCCAAAATTAAAAAGACATTTTCTCTGAGAGGGCCAAAATTAAAATCAATCTGAGGACCGCGGGCCAAATGCAATAATATAAGAAATGCAAATACTTAAGTAAAGTTGTCTTATTTTTTTATGATTAAGCCAGCAGCCCGTGTGGTTGCCCACATTCTTTAGGTTTTTTTTTCAGCCCATGGACATGGAGAAAATTCAACATATGCTCAGGCAGCAAGGGCTTATGGCTTTTCATAATTTAAAATTTGAGTATATGTGATCTTATAAGGTGTGCAAATCTTTATATGGGCTTAAATCTAATCTAAATCAAGACAAATCCAAAAAACACACTTTTTCACTCAAGRGTTTAGCTAACCATTTCACCATTACMGCCAGCCTACCTCCACTGTGCATGCTCGTCAATCTGTGTTTTTTTTACTAGTGAACTTACACCATATTTTTCTCTCCCACATTCATTATGTTCTTGTGTATTATTGTATATTTTGAGCTGCATTGACCTTGTGTTTGATTTACAATTTTAGAAATAATTTCTTGATTTTATGTTCCAATTTCTCGTTGCTTATTTTTAATTATGTTTTTCCGTTTCATTTTATTCTTTCCACCATTTTAATACTGTTAATGATTGTACAGCACCTTGTGAATATATTTC